GTGTGCCCAACTCACTCCATTGCAGGTGTTGAAGGCCCCCCTACCTGTGGGTTTGACCTCTTTCTCTGGGGGTTTGCTGTTTGCTAGGGACATGGATCCAGGACACTGCGGTGAGACCATTGAGCCTCGTGTAGTCTTCAGCTCTTTTCTGCTCTTCCTTGTAGGCACTAACAGTGTCTACTGCCAGGGGAGACCTGGTGTGTATGAAGAATGACTGCATGGCTCTAGAGGAAAGGGTATAGGATCTCAAATGGAATTTTCCTTGTTCCTGTTAACAAGAGAGAAATGTTTGAGGAGGACTGGGTAGACCTTTTGGGACAACAATTAGTTGCACAGCTGGTGTCAGCAACAATCTTTCAGATTTAACAACCTTAGGACACTTTTTGAGGTTCAGGAGTTCCTAGTAAAAGACAGAATACATCTGACCACATAGGGCAAATGTATCTTTTCCAATAGGCTGGCCAACCTGATGAGAATAGCTCTAGGCTAGGTGTGATGGTGGAGGGAGATGTTGCCACAAAATCAGGTGAGAAAGCAGTGGACTGGTTTGAGAAACAAAAACATCAGGGCATTGTGAACAGGAGATACCCGGGAAACAACAAATCATGGCTGAAGTGCAACCACTTGGCCACCTCAAGTGCAAACACACAAACAGGGAAGTGCTGCTGTAAGGGCAACATGATGAGGGAAGTTATGTTTTTTTTCTGAAAAATAAACGTAAGTGGATGCACAAGCAAACTGAAGTGGCTGCATGCTAACATGGAGAGCATGGAGAAGAAATTGATGCCTTCATGCATTTGAAAGGACATTTGAGGACAGAACAAAGGTGGTGGCACTATGATGGATGGTCTTGTTATAGACTGCCTGATATGGAAGAAATGGATGGGGCCTTCTTCAGACAACTGGAAGAAGCTTTATGTTTATAGACATTGGTCCTTATTGTGGCCTTTAATCACTCTGATATCTGCTGTTGGGACAACAGAGCATAAACAATCCAGCATTTTTCTAGAATTCTTTGTTTTAAAACTTTGCAACACAGGTGATTAAGGAGCAGACAAGATGATTGTGTTTTGTTTGTGACTGGACAAGTTTTGGTAGTGAGGGTGGGGGCTACTGCCAAGGCCTCTGTAAGAAGCTTCAAGAACCTCCTTCAGCTCCAATTTGGACCCACCTCTGGCCAGGGCTGAGTCAATCATTGCCTCTTCAAAAACATATTTAAGAGAGGGGAAAACTTATTGGGTTAGTTCTTTTGGTTGGGGGGTTCTTTTGTTTTGGAGAGGAGTGGGAGTAGGGAGAGGCAGACATGCAGACACTGATGTCAGTGAGGAAAGGGAACTGTTCCAGAGCAGTGATTCCCCCATGGCTTGTGGTGAGATGGCAGAGTGAGCCCATGCAGCCCATGGAGATCAGTACTGGGGCAGAATCCTGTCTGCAACCCATGAAGAAGCCCATGCTGGAGAAAGGGATTGTGCTTGAAGAAGGCAGTGACTCTGAGGGAAACCCCCACTGGAGCAGTTTGTTGTCCCCCCATTACAGCAGGGGAGAACTGCAAGGATTTTTCTCCTTGAGGAGGAAGGAACAGAAGAAACAACATGGGTTGGACTAACTACAACAGCCTTTCCTAATCCCACTGTGCTTCTGGTGGGCAGGAGGTAGAGAATTGGGAGCAGAGATGAGACTGTGAAGAGAGGAAGTGGGGGAAAGGTGTTTTTAATATCTGATGGTTATTTTTTTTTTCACTGTACTACTCTGATTTGATTGGTAAATTGCTGGTGGTTTTGTTGTTTAAACTTAATTGATTTTGTTTTCCCAAATCAAGTCTTTTATCCATGACCCTAACTGGTGAGTGAGCCCTCCCTCTCCTTTGACTCCACCCTTGAGCCTTTTGTTGTCTTTTCTCCTCCCCATCCCACTGGAGGTCGGGGTAGGAGTGAGCAAGCAGCTGCATGGTGCTTTGATGGCAGCTGTGTGGGATTAAAACATGACAGTGACACACTCTACTGGCCTTCATGTTTGCAAACAAGGAAGAACTGATGGTGGACATGAAAACTGGGGCAGCCTTTGCTGCAGCAACAATGAGGCTGTGATGTTCAAGATCCTGAGAGAAGGGAACAAGACCATAATAGAATAATAGCCCTGGCTTTCAGAAGAGCAGGCTTGCTCGTATTCAGGACCTGGTAGGATGAATGACATGGGAGGTGGTCCTGAAGACAAGTGTGATCCAGGAGAGCTGGTTCATTTTTAAAGATCATTTCTTCCAAGTTCAAGAAAGGTCTATCCTGACAAGCAGGAAATCAAGCAAAAGTAGCAAGAGTCTGCATGGATGAGCAAGAAGCTCATATCTCATCTCAGGAATAAAAACAACATGTGCAAGAAGTGGAAACAAGGTCAGATGACCCAAAAAGAATACAGAAATCTTCTGAGCATGCAAGAATGTCAAAAAGCCAAACTGGATTTAAAACTGAAAAGGGTGGTAGAAGACAACAAGTAGGGCTTCCACAGGTGTATCAGGAGTAAAAGTAAGACTAGGAAAAGTACAAACTCATTTCTGAGTGGGGCAGGGACCTGGGGGCAAAAGACATGGATAAAGTCAAGGTACTGAATACCCTCTTCACCTTGGTCTTTGCTGGTAAGACAAGAATCTCAAGTCTCTGAGGCCCATAGGTAAGACTAGAGAAAAGGAGATCCTTAGTGGAGGAGGGCCATGCTATCTGATACTTGAAATAGCTGAACATATGTAAATGCATAGATCTACTGGGATGCACCTGAGAGTGCTGAGGGGATTTGCGATGGTAATTTGGAGGCTACATTTGTTTATGTGTGAAAGGCAACTGGGATAGATTCCGGAAGACTGAAATAGAGCAAATGTCATGCCCATCCTCAACAAATGCAAGAAGAAATGCCTGGGGAACTACAAACTCGTCAGCCTCATTTCAGTCTCTGAGAAGGTGAAGAGGCAAATAATCCTGGAAAACATTTCCAAACACATGAAGGATGAGGAGGTTATTCATAATAGCATGGATTTATGAATGGAAAATCAAGACTAACAAAACTACTAGCCTTCCACAATGACATAACTGGCTTGGCAAGTGAAAGGGAGTGTTTAGTATTGGTTATCTTGAGTTTTGGTGTGGTCTCATATAATGTCCTCACAGACAACTGATAAGTACAAGTCATTTAGGTGGACAATGAAGTGGACTGAAATCAGAATGAATTGCCTGATTGAAGGAATTGTGATGACTGGTATCTGAATCACTCTATTCAGTTGTGTATCCCTTGGGGTGATACTCATTTCAATGGTGTTTAATACCTTTGTTAATTACCATTATGATGAGACAAAGAATATGTTCAGAAAGTTTTCAGTCAGTAATAATTTGGATGACTGATTGACATACCAGAGGGTTTTGATGCCATTTAGAGAATTCAGACATGCTGGTGAAGTGGGTTGACAGGAATCTTATGTTCAAAATGGTGAAGTGCAAGATTTTTCACCTGTGGAGGAATAATCCCAACATTGGTTGACCAATACACACTGGGGGCTAACTGGCTTTGAAGAAAAAGACATGAGGGTTCTGGTAGACACCAGATTGACCATGAGCTGGCAATATCCTTTTCCAACACAGAAAGCCAACAGCATCCTGGGTTGTTTTAGGAATACTGTTTCCAGCAGGTCAAAGGAAGTTGTTCTGCCATTCTACTCAACCGTGGTAATGAAACTTTGTCTGAATTGATGGACAGAGTTTTTGGATCCCTACTACAAGAAAGATATGGACATATTGGAGCAAGTCCAACAGAAGGCCACAAATATGTTTAAGGAACCAGAGTGTAGAATGGAAAATTTTAGCTGTTTGTATTACTACCTGATGGGAGACTGTAAAGAAGATGAAGCCAGAATCTTTTCAGTGGTGTCCAGTCCAGCAGAAGAAGACAGAAGAGCTTAATGGAAGGGGTGATGGAAGGCCTTGCCCTTCCTGATCCCTCAGCTTTACTGGATATGCCGGCTGTGGGATGGAACACCCCACTGGTGAATCTTGGGGTCAGTTATCCTGCCCGCCCCTCCCCACAGGTGTGGGGTGCTCTCTTCCCCCCTCCATGTGGGACACAAGCCTAGCAGTGGCCTTGGTCTGCTAAAACCAGACAGTTTACGAAAACACTGTTAAGTTCAGACAGAGCAGTTAATTAGAAGAGCTTTAGCTGTGAATTTAAAATCATTGAGCAAAATTAACTTTGTTTTACTCCAAACAAGGACAAGTCGGGCAGCTGGACAGGATGATCTCCAGAGATGCATGAAGATCTCAACCATTCTGTGATGCCCATACTGGAAAACTGACACAAAGTCCTGCATTCCAGTACAAAAACTATTATTTAGCTTAACTAAAGTCATAATTTCTTTATGATGCCAGTGAAAAAAGATTTGAGAAAGAGAACCAGGACCTACTGACAGCTGACAGTTTTTAATTTTGGAATATTTTTGTTTCCTACATGGTAAAATATGCTATGATAATATTTTTTAACTACTGCACAGATATTCAGTTTTATTTTAATCATGGCTGAAATCTACAGCCTGTATGTAAGCCCTGAATATCAGCTAAATGCAAAGGACATGATTGTTCTTCTCTTTGTTTTTTAACTGGAATTAATTGCAGAAAAATTAATAGAGTTTGTCATTCTAAGCATACAAAAAGAACAAAAGTGGTCAAAATATTTCATGCCTCCAAGGCAAAGAAGGCCTTTCAGTGTGTGAGATTAGTACTAGGTTGGAATAGAAGTCAGATTTCTTCTGCTCACCTTGCTTTATTATCTAGTGATAACACCATCATTAAAATAGGACAGTCTTAACATTGGTCGAAGAACAGGATTAGGAGAAATAAGCTACACTTTACTGGGCAGACCTGAATCTAGGGATGTTAGTGGCAGGACTTCATATCATATTGAAGTAACATGCAACTGTTTCTTTTAGACATGGCATTATACATTATCTTTCATTTCTTTACTTCTAGGGTCCGAGGTGGTTGGCTTTGATGGCAAGAGCTGTCTAATTTATTCACTTAAACAAAAACTCATGCAGAGTGTACTGAAAGATGTGATTTCTCTGAAGTTTAAGACAATGCAAAGTGATGGAATTCTCCTCCACAGAGAAGGACAAAATGGAGACCATATCACCCTGGAATTAATTAAGGGGAAGCTGTCCCTACTCATTAATTTAGGTAACAGCTGCAGTCTCATAAAGTCTAACATAGTTTTTAGATATTATTTGACTAAAACTTCTATTATTTTTTTTAAGTGGATTTTAAAGCATAGAGTGTGATAAATTACAAATATATATTTGAATAATTATATTTTTATATGGAATTAATAGTCTGTATTTTTCTTCTTTTAAGGTGATACTAAAACTCATCCTTCTAATGCCCAAATTAATATTACACTGGGCAGCCTTTTGGATGATCAGCACTGGCATTCTGTTCTCATTGAGCACTTTAACAATCAAGTAAACTTTACAGTGGACAAACACACTCATCACTTTCATGCAAAAGGAGAATTCAGTTATTTGGACATTGATTATGAGGTGTGAAAATTACTTTTCCTTTATTACATTTATTAACTTTGTAATGTGATTGCAGTGAAAAAAAGTAAAGGAGACAGAACTTAAGGAAATTTGTAGTGCTTAAGAATTTAGCAATTTTCTGTCCCCTAAGGGATCGAATCAGAGAATGTTCTTAGGCTACTAACATTCCACTAGGCTTTCAACTCAAAATTTTCAAAAGTTTATTTTTTTTTAATCTCAGAATTCATTATTTTTATATATTTTTTCTAGAAGTACTGCAAATGTGGCAAGCAGTATGTAAACAGAAGGAATGACCCCAGCTCAAAGTTGCTATTTGCAACTAAAATTAGCTATATGCATGCTATCATGACTTGATGAAAATTAGAATAAATTAGCATAAAACCATTTTAGAAATGTTTAGATTAAGACTTACATTCCTATTAACTCTGGCAAATGTACTGTGAAAAAATCTTGCTTGCACGGATAATAGATTCATGAAAAAGAGTAGTTGTAATTTACTGTGACAGTTTCCCACCTATGGTTAAAACTACCAATATTTCATAGTTGCAATGTGATAACTGGCTGCTTTATGCTTGCCCCTGTCTTGGTTGTTGGATGAGACAATGAGAGACAGTGAAGAGTGTCTGGAACCTGCAGATCTAAATTACTTTATTCCACTCATTCAAGTTTTTAAGCAGTTTAGAGTAAGATTTCATGCTGTTTCCGTGTCTGCATTATCCCATTTCGAAAATATCATTCGTATGATTAAAGTCATGATTCTGCTTCAGCTTTCTGTATCTAAGCCCCATTGCCAAGGCTTGGAGGAGCATACAAATAAATTTAAAACAAAACAAAACAAAACAAACAACAAAACACAAACAACAAAACAAACAAACAGAAACCAAAGAAAAAAAAACAATGTTAGTTTTAACTGATAAGCAAATAGATTTATTTTACTAATTCAACCAGTATTGCAAATTGATTTTTCCTCTCTTCCACATACTGTAGCATGTGTTACCAATACAAGGTAAGCAAAAGCCTAAATAACAGAAAAAAAAAACCCTGAAAACTTTTAAAAAGTATAAACCGCTGTAATTAGAATTGCATTTATGACTATAAAATTTGTTTACTTCATAAAATGATTTAAAATATTAAGTGAATTTTCAAAATTAAAAAATAAATAATTTAAACTGACCTTTTCTACAATGCCAACCAGCATAGCCTTGAAATGGGTGAGTGCAAAAGTTCACTCAAACTGGCATTCTGTTTATGATAGTGCCCAAGAGTGGAAACATAGACTAGAATAGAACTCAGGTCACCCTGCTGGTAATGCTTTTGTAAAATTATCTACTGCTTTCTAACAGTTTCTGCCTCAGAGACTTATTAAAAAAAAAGTGTTACTCTTGAATTTAATAGCTCTCAATGGATTATTATTTTTATTAAACCTTCCAATCTCTTTCTGAACCCAAGTACACCTACAGCATCACATCAAGACAGTGCACAACCTAGGCATTTTAAGAGGGCAAAAGTATCTCTTTTCATTTGTTTTGAATCTGCCACAGAATAATTTAATTTTATATACTCTTGTTCTCTCTTACGGTAGTTACAATTTGCACACAGCAGAAAAGTCAGGCTCAAATTTCCTAAAGAAGATGTTAGTGAGTTCTTTCTTCCGCTGTTCAGCATGGTCTGTATGCACTGGGCCTTGCCCTTCTTCTCCTTTGTTTGGCAGCCTTAATGGATTGTAAAAACTGATAAGACTCTAGAGTAAGCAACAGTTAAGAGGAATTTTTAGAAGGAAAACAAAGCACTACAGAACATTTAAACGCATCCATATGACTTGATATAGCCTAATTTTTGTTAACATGTTCTTTCAATACTTGAATGTGATACAAGGAAATAACCAAGAAGTAGCAGATTTACTATTGGCCCAGCTTTGACTTGTGTTCTTATGCTATTGGCAAATTCTTTCCTTAGAAAATTACTTAATAGTATAATTGATTTCTCTTCTCTTTCTAAGCTCAGCTTTGGAGGGATCCCAGTGCCTGGAAAATCAGGGACATTGTCACGCAGAAACTTTCATGGGTGTTTTGAAAATATTTATTATAATGGAGTGAACATTATTGACCTGGCCAGGAGGCATAAATCTCAGATCTACTTTGTGGTAAGAGATTCATAGTTAAGAAAATATAAAATAGAAGAAAAAGACTACAGCCACTTTCATGTGTCACCTGTAAACGTACAGATACAGGAAAATCTATGTTGTTAAATGCAAGGAAAATCAAGGAATCACCTGGTTGGGCTATTTTATATTTGCTGTTGTACAGTCTCAACCAGCAGACAATGCAGAGTTTATTTTATTCTTCACCTCTTTAGCTGTTATTTACATGTGTTTGATGTTTTACTGTTATTTGGTATCTCACTGTTGTGCATGTACAAAAGCCAGTAAGTAAAATAAAATATATCTGAAGTCATCAAAATTCTGGCTTTAACTTCTGTACTGACTAGAAAGAACACAAGCAGTATATTTTAGAAGACTTCTATTGCTAAGGACATTCATCCACTGTGTTTTCTCCAGAACATTAAAATTTTAATAGTTAAGTTCTGTTTGTCAATTTATACAGCCCTTTGTCTGAAGACTTGTAGTTTAGATTGGTGAGTTTAATGAATTTCTTGTGGCACGGTCAATAGCTGTATTAGCTAATTCCCAACTATTTAGAGAAACAGTTCCAACAATGAATCAACTTTTTTTTTTCTGTGTTACAGAAGGTTTTCTATAAATTTTACTGTCTTTTTTTTTTTTCTCCCCGTAGTACAAATCTCTATTTACAGTGTTTATGTATTTATTTATTTATTTATCAGCAGATATGGTGCAAACAATCAGTTCAAAATAATGAACAAATATAAAACACTTTCAAGTTCCAAATCTTTTGATTTGATTTCAGTTCAGAATACGAACAATCGAATTTGGTTCTCTGTCCCAGAAAAAAAATAGATGACAGGCATCTCTTCTCATGTGAAGTTCATCTGACATATTCCAGAGTTAACTAAACTAATACCTTTGTATAATATCCTGTCCATAATGCTGATGGGTGCTGGGGAGATGGCAGTTATAGGAGGCTCTGAGTGGACTAGTGAAAGGGGAACTATGAAATTGGCATAGAAAATTTCATCATCTTCATTTCAAATGGTTCAAGCTGTTGTACTATTTTCAAAACTGTTTGGGAGATGTTTTGTAATGTAAATGTTCAAGAAAATATCTATGTTACCATAGAATCCTTGTTAAATAACCACTTTGCTGGTCTGATATGGTAGTAGGCATTTGTCCAGAAAACATGGAGGTGCAATCTGCAATGGTAAGCTTTTAGCATTTAACAAGATTTGTTAATCTGATGTCTGCTTTTTCACTATGAGTCAGTTCAGTTGGCTATTCACTTCTCTACAGCTGAGTTCATAAGACAGAGATTTTATTTGTTTATATATATTCCTTGAAGACGATGAAATCACAAACTCTAATGTCTTGCCATGCCAGGGGCTAGTATTTTTCTTAAGTTCATCTTTTAGCTTTCTATTATAAGATGAAAGTTTTATATATATTCCAAAGTTTAAAAAGCTCTTTCTGTTCAACAGAAATTAAATATGTTTTAAATTTGAAATACATTAATCTTTTAGTAATCATCCGTACAGAAGAAATTACTTTTAATTCAAATAGTGCCAACAAGTCATTAGATCAAAGTGCATATTTTATCAGTATCAATAGTCATAAAGCACTGATTAACGGACACCAGATGCAAAAAACCATCTTCTTCTCATTCCAATCTTCTTATTTGTATCATTCAGTACAACCACAGGTACAGATGAAGCTCAGAGTTTATCAATGAATTCCTCAACGAGTTTATTTGTTACCTAAGAACCAGTGATTTCAGAAAGAGTCAAGCACAAAATAAAGCCTAGATATCTAAATATAGCTCTGGTCCGTACAGGCCTGCTTGAAAATGCATATCCTTCTGATTTATATGTTTCATATTTGTAAGTAGCATGAGTTTATATGTGGAATTTTCTCTATTTGAGGCAACAGATACTGTGACTGGTGCATATCACCGGTTGAATGGATTTGGAAAGAATGCACCTGATCCAGCAACATATTTTTTTTTACCAAATTTAACACTTCATTAAGTCATCAGTAACCTCAACATTTTTCTTTGCATACAAGCGTGTCTGATCCATGTAAATATTTCTACCAAACTTTGCATTCAGTGGCGTTTTATCTGACATTCAGACATTTGCTGGTTCCTTAATGCTTTCTGAGTCTGAGCCAAAATAGCAACAAAGCAGGTTTCTCTAACTGCTAAAGTACCATAAAAACACCCATATCATTTAGGATTTTACTGCACTCAGTCAAAGGTCCTTGTCACGC